TTTAAGAAAGCCACAACTTTACGTCTGTAAGTTTACCCAAGTCTCAAAATTGCTGTCGAGTCATAAGTTGAGGGCCACAAAACTCCAAAAGAAAAGGCCGACCGAGAGAGATAGGGATAGAGAAAGGTGAGGGAGACAGTGAGTGAGACTGAGACTGTGACTTGACGAAAGTACTTTCATTTTCACGCTCATAAAATGGGACTACCATAAAACTTAAAAACGTTGCCGTAAAAAGCTAAAAATCGGAAACGTACCAAGAGGGCCAAGTTAAGCGGCTTAAATGACATTTAAATCAGTTAAAAGCGGGGGGACAGAATTCGGACGGCCAAAAAGACAGTCGACCCAGTATGGAAAGGTAAACACAAGCCCAGACACTCGAGCCTGAAGATCCCTTTCACTGGCCTCAAGTTGGGACAGGAAGTTCGCACTTTGGCAAAGATCGAAGAACCCCAAAATGAGGAATGGAAATTAAAACTACAAAGAAACCCCGGGGATAGCCATTGCAGCACACGTCTGTCTCCCTCCCCGTGATTACGCTTTAATCTCGTTATAATGAGGCAGGAAAATTGCTTGGCGGATGTGCCGAGCGTGCCCGAAACGGGAATGGGATTGGGATTGCAATTGGGATGGGAAATCGAGATGGGGATGGTGATGGGGATGGGGATTTGGTCTGAATTGGACCTAAACCTGAACCTGGACGGAGTTGCGGTTGACATCCTGGTTGCCAGCTGGGCAGTACTCATCTCTCGCTGCTGAGTGCAGCTGAGATTGAATTACCAGGGAAAAAACCTGGGGAGGACCGCCGTACACCAGAACAGACACAATGCAAAAAGGGAGAGACAACCGGCAGACAGCACAAATACACTTGTTCCAGTAATCTGTTCTTCACTTTTGTGGCCCAGCTTGTTTCTGAAATATGATTCCGCCAAGGCGCAGGTCGTAAACAAACCAAAGACACGATCGGAAGGCCGAAAAGGGTCGCAGGAAAGAGTTGTGAGATAAGGTTAGATAAGCGCCGGCACATATAAATGCGAGTATACCTGAAGCGGCGACCAAGTGAACACTTCCTTCCCCGAGTGGAGCAGAAACACTTTTTTGGGGTTCTTTTCGGGCTCGATAAGGCGAGCATGAATGAAAGTTGCATACATATAATTCTGGGAAGAATTGAGATAGCCTTACTTAAATAAAGTTGGTGGTAAAACGAAAATATATTTGGAGATAGTTTTTGAAATATATTTTGGGAGTGGAAGAACTAGTAGAAATCATAATAAATACTTTAAAGTTGATAAAACCTAAGGCCAGCTCTTTTGCATAATATTTTATAATAGAAAAGTAGGCTACCACTTCCAAAAATTATAGCTATTTCTTTAAAACTACTTTTAAGAAGTAACAGATTGGACAAACTGATATTTACAGAAACTAAAGAAGAGAATCAAACCATGGATCTCAGCAGTGACTTATTTTTGAATCTCTTCAAATAAGCATTCAATTTAAAACCCACCTGAATTTTGAAGCATGCCTGGTAGAATCACCGATGACTCCGATTTGAATCCTCCGTTGAGGTCGCTGCTGCTGGTGGGCTTCTCTAGACCCATGTCCAGGGTGGTGGAGCCGTCCAGATCGACAAGTGTGTTGCCATTGAAGAGTCCCGCGCTGCGGTACTCCTTCGCGAATGGCGTGGCAGCCTGTGCCGCGCCCATGGATAACACTAGGAAGAGCCAGGACATAGCAGATCGTCCGGTTTGGGTCACTACTTCTGACCACATTGCAGTCACTCACGACGCAGACTCACATAGACAAACAAGCCGATTGAAATTATTATTTAGACGACGCGTGACACTTTCAATTAACACCGCTCAGCGGTTGCCGCCGAATGCGAAAAAAATGTGTTACTTTTGATCATTAAATTAGTTAGAGTCGGCCGACTTGACTTTGATGGGGCACCACCGTAAATTCAATTTGCGCTCGACGTTCGCTCTGTTTTCGCGCTTGTTACTTTTTTTCGCCAGTTAGGGAAATTATGTGTGTCAGCAATTAGTGGAATCGACCGTCTGTCCAAGTCACTAAAGTGTGTCAGACGTTTTGGCACTGCAAAGATAAGGTACATAAAGAGTCAGATTAGTACGGTGCAAAGCCGAAGTTCGCATATGCATGCAAATCACTTCGCGTTCGCGGGGCAGTAACTTTGGCTATAAAACTGATTGGGAACGGCTTTAACAGTATTTATAGCCTAGGGAGAAAAGGTTTAAATTCCATTGGGAACATTATCAAGTTCAAGAGGAGTTGCTACACACAATATTTATATCATAGTATACTGTGTGTATCGAATTCGATTATAAAGCTTATGTTTTGCACTTTGTGTTTTTTTTTACGAAGCCTGTTTCAGAAGGAAAAAGGTATTTTTATAAAAATAAGTATTGATTCATATATTTTAAGTAAAACATTTTGTTTTGCAATGTTTAAAGTTTAATCAAATTGTTATTAGCTTTGGCTACTCAGATACCACATAACACTGCATGCATGAAAATATGAAAATATACAAAATGTTTGTTTATAAACAAAATATAAATGGTAAACAAACAAAATAATTTTTTTGAATAGAATTGAACAAGATCTTAAAGTGTCTAAAATTAGGCACTAAAAATCTGTCACTACTATGTATGTTTACTGCCTTTTTCATTATTATTCCCAACTTGCTTTTATAACGGAAACTTGGCAACACACATTGCCAACAGCTGTTATTTGTTTTTGTTACGTTGATAATTGGTAAGTACGCGACGTTTCTATCAATCAAAAAAATCCGCGTTCATTTCCATAACAATTTTCCAGTAATCTGCTGCCCATGCGCAGGATAATGGAAACGAGCCCACGAGAATTCCCGCGATGGGAATAAGGGAATTGTGGAATCAAAAGAAATCCCACAACAAAGCCCTTGGAATGCCTCCGCCCACGCCTCTGAATGCGTGAGAGGAACAGAGAGAGAGGGAGGGAGTTCCTGTGTGCAAGCGAGGTAGTGATATGCACCCTTAGCGCCGCTCATAAATGTCAATGGAAAGGCTGATGTTATTCTTTTTTTCCTTGTTGTTTTTGGTTGGAAAACAGAATGAAATAACATGTGGGTTTCGTATTATTAAACATCGTTTGGGGGGAAATGCCTGAGAGGCCTACACGCAAAAAAAATATCCAGTAAGTCTATATGTTCTTAATTTTTTGATAAGCATTAAAATTTTCTTCCAATTTTAATAAATATTTCAACAATTCAATTTTTAAAATTTTATCAAGTCTTTTTTATATTTCAACATCGCTTTTTTTAAGACTCCGTTTTTTTCAAGCGCCTTTGTAGTTTTTTTTTTCTGGGTATCCAGAATACATATATTTATAAATTGAGCTCAAGAAACCAAAACCACAAAAAGCAACTAAAAATTTGCATATGTCAGTGTAACAAAAACCAAAATTGATGGATGGAAAAAAGACTGCGACTCAAAATCACACACTCGCGGGCTTAAGCCAAAAAAGCTTTAAACGAAACGAGTTTTAACAAAATATTTTTGCATTGCACAAACGGAAAGCCGTCAATAAAAAAAAGCAAACAAACACACACACAAATAAAAGCCATTCAATTAATATCTGAACAGAGAACAACAAACAAAATTCAGTGCAATGTTTGTGGTGGCCTGTCGCTGTCTGTTGTTGTTTGTTTTATTTGGGGGGGACAAACAAAATCGAAATTGGCTAAAATCGAAATGATGCTCCATTTATCCATACCTTTTTACACCACTTGTTGGTCTCTGTTTATTGTTATTATTCTTTGTTGGCACTTTCGGAGGCTGCAACAGCTGCGCGGTCTAACGGTACTTGCGAATCGAGTGCGCAGCAGCGACGGGATGCAATCATAACCGTAATCGTTCGTTTTTGTTGTTTTGATACACTATGGAGTTTTGATCCAGCAACAGCAATATATCATAAACTCGATATATGTATATTTCCCAAAACACATGCTTTTGTACCGGAATTTTAGGAACACATTATCCACATTGACGTTGAGTTATATCCGCGGTTTCCGTTCGATTCCTCGCGCGCCAAACAAAATTACAAAGAGATGTTCAGGATCGGTTCGTTATATAGATTATTTGGAAAAGAAATTAATTTTCGTGTTAGACTGCTAAGTAAACCCTTTAAAATCAATCACTTTAATATATCAACTTTAGCTTAAGTTCGAATTCAGCCTTTTGTAGTTTAAGCGAGACACAGCGAAAACACGTCCGAACGGCGAGAAAAATGAAAACGAAAAAAACAAAAACAAGAACCTAGCGGTGGAGAAACTTCGATGGCAACATCGATTTTTTCAAAACGTCGGTTCAATCGATGTTTTTAAAACGTCGGTTTCATCGATATTTTCAAAACGTCGGTTTCATCGATTTCATATTATTATTCCATTTATATTGTAGTTTACTTATAAAATGGCTTAAACTTAAAAATATAAAATAATATGTCGTTAATATGTGGTTAATATGTGGTCACAATAACACATTACAAAATTAAAAAAAAAAAACTTACTTCAGGTAAAAGAAGAAAATTCTTGTACTTAACCTATTGGAAAATGGCGATCTTGCTGTTGGGAGTGTGACTCCGCTAAGAAACAAAGGTTAACAACTCCGCTAAGTAAACCAGGGCTGCACCAGTGCACTGCTTTAACCGATTTAAATGGAACTGCTTGATGAAATGGCCCTGGAACAAGGCGGAGCTTATTTAAATTATCCACCCTTAACGTACTTAAAGTCCGGAAGTGAAATTAGGGGTTAATTTCACACCACTTTGACCTGACCAATCGGCGAGTTTCAGGCAGATACTTCAGGTGTGTCGAAGGGAGGGGGCATTTTTTTTTTTTATTATTTAGGCGCCCCCGCTGCTGCTGTTTATTTTTTGATATGCCGCTTAATTTGCTTTGTTTTTTTCCAGTTCCTCTGCCGACGTCGGCGTCAGGATAAGCTTGACCAGCGGAAGTAAAGTTGCCATATAGGCGACACTTCAGTCGCTCGTCGATTACCCAAGTGATTAGTTTGAACAGCTCCGCGGAGGCCATATCCTTAGCCAAATGCAACGCCAAAAATTGGAGGCTGTTGGGTCACCCGATGGGTCGCCGATCAATAGAAGCGATAGCATAAATCCCATATCGAGTAATACGAATGTGACCGTAACGCAACGTCCTTCGTCGCCGCGGCAGTTTTTCGAAAGACTTTACGGGCATCTGGAAACGCGCGGTTCGGAAAACGGGGACATCGATGTCGGGACACACGCCCACAAGCCGCCTCCGTGCGACACGCCCTATCACAGCGACGGCGGCAGCGTTTCCTCGCCGGACATTTCCATCAGCGACGAACGCACCTCCCTCGCCGGATTTCCCACCTACGATTTCTACGCCCAGTCCAAGGACTACACCCATCAACCCCCCAACCCCACTCATCATCAGCAGGTGCACCAGCAACTCAGCTACGTGAGTCCGCCGCCAGTGATTAGCCACGCAGCGAATCCTGGCCTGCCGCACGGATTTCCACCGGGGTTTCCCAATGATCCGCACTTCAGCGCCGGATTCACGGCATTCTGTGAGTGAAAAAATTCGTTTTCAGGAGTGGGATTACAAAAAAAGCCAAACTGTCTTACCATTTCTTAAAAAACCCTTAACCAAATTAATACTATTAAAGATGTACAAAGTCACAAAAATGAAAATGAAACTAATAAGTGAAATGTGTTTCATAAAATACATTTGGGCTATCATATTTTAATTTCAATTTGGAATTGTAATTAGAATTTAAATTCAAGTCTCTGATGTAAGCAAATTTGGTATTGTAGTTAGAACTAGTTTGTATTCAAGGCGATTTTGATTATCTTGAAAACGATCTATAGGTCGAATATATATAATTTGGATACATATATATTTATGCCATAACAAATTAGGACGTATTTTTAAAGACTTATAATTGTTCTTCCAATCTATTCGTCTTATTATCCTTAATGTTTGTTATGTCTAAATGCAAAACTTCTAGTCAACGTCAACTCAAGTTATAGAAATGACGTATCCACAAAAATTTATTCATGTTTTCTGAACTCTTAGACATTTATTGTGAGGTTTTTCAGTTCTTAGTCACTAAGTACAAGATTAAATTTGAGCTACTACAAATTTGGTCCTAACTAGAAATTTAGATAATAGGGAGAACGCGTTTGTACTACTTTGAGGGCGGTGTCTTTGGCTTCCCCTTGGCTGCTTTCTCCGCCGCTGCCTTTTCCTCCCGCTGCCGAGCCATCTGGCGAAGCTCCAGGCTGAGGAACATCTTCAGGTTCGGGTCGGTGATCTTGCTCAGGACAATCTGGCGAGCCTCCTCATCGTTGTCGCCCAAAAGCTTAGCCAGAGTCTGGGCGTAATCCAGCCAAACGCAGTTGGCACATCCGGACATGCAGCAGGTGGTGGGTTCGGGAGGTATCTGATATGGGAAACATACAACATTAATAAGTCTCAATTGGATCTGATAGGCCGTTTCACCAATTTATGAGTTTATGGTCTCATATGAAGGAACATTATATTAATTTTGTTTTTAAAAACATTTTATAAAGAGGAGCGTTTAAAAATGAAACATTCTCGAGATAAACATATTATATATAAGATAATCTTAAACCCTTTTTTTAGGGGAATTAATTATATAAGTGCTATCATATAATTGTTTATCCGAGTCTGTGAACTATTTATGAATTTACTTAGCCTAATGATCCAACAAAATAAATTGATAACTCTATTAGGGAACTAGTTATATAGAATATTAATTTAATATACCAACATTATTTTAGTATTTCGAAATTACCTCGATTTCCCTAAGTCTCTTCCGTCCCTTGGAGTTTCTATCTCTGGCCGATGTCTCCTTGGCGTTCGTTCTGCTATGTGAAGCGGAGTCCTTGCCGCCATCCTTGGTGGAGGTGTCCTTGTCGGGGGAACGGGAACCCCTGTTGGTGGTACCCTGGGAGCTGTTGCCAGACAATTGTCGGGCCAAGGAAGCCCATCGCTCGGCTCCGCGCCTTAAAAGCAGACAGCGCGGACAGCTGAAGCCCAGGGGAGCCAACATTTCCCACCCGATCCCTGATAGTTCGAAAGCTAAGATTGAAAAAGCCCAGAGGAAGTGATGAACATTTCACACGCCTGCGCAGGTGCAGTCCAGATGAACTTAGTTCCGCAGGAACTGCAAAAAAAGAATCGGATACAGAAAAAAGCTGATTAAGTGCAAGTGCTATTGAATATCCCTGCAATGAGTGCAGGCAAGGATTATGTAAAATCAGTCATGAAAAAATAAGCAAAACTAAGGTGAGAAGGGCAGGCAATGCCACACAATGAGCTGCTGCTGACCCCCAATGCAAAGAAATTGGCCAAGGAAAAAACTGAATGCCAAGAAAAAATTAAAACGCATTGAGCCGTGAAAGTTTTCGTTTACTTGCGGCATTTTCGTTTGCGGCTGATGAGGTGGCCAGGTGTGGAGGTGAGGATATGAAAAAATTGAAATGCGTTGGCTAATGAAAATGATCGCAGGTTAAGGGTGGATAAGTGAAGCAATTTATAAGTGGTTAATCGAAAAAAATTTACATTTTTCAATGTAAGCAACGATGGAATAAGGGGTTTTTAAAATGTGTACATAAACCTTAAGATTTAGGCACGACGACAAGCAAATTTAAGAAACTAAGAATAAGTTACTGCTCACTGCAGATAAAGATATCACCAAACGATTTTAATTACATTATTTTTATATGTACACTACATTATATTATGTATATTATATGTGCTTACATTATATTATATTTCTGTAATCTAAGCATTTGGTTAGTTTGATGATGACTAAAAATACATTTTTAAATATTTATGGCTACAGAATTTGATGTATACTTTTACCACAACTGTTCAACTACTAACGCAGAACCACAACTTACAAAGCCAACTTTGGCAAATCTTAAAAAATCATAAGTGACTGAAAAACATTGTAATTGAGCTTGACAGGAAACCTAAAAAAGCAAACAAACAGAAAGCGAAGAGGGTTAAACGAGTAACAGATAGAGGAAGACTCATGGCAGCCACAAAAAACTGCTGAAAGGACACTTAACTATCGAATTTCACACGTGATTTAAAAAAATTTTAGGAAGAAAGAAAGCAAAGTAAAGCAAGGATCAGGGAGGAGCTTAAGCCCGTTTCGAGTTATTCAGGCGAGGGGTAATCAAGCAAAAAAACTAGAGATTACAACGCCCACAAAGCAACCCCTTTCCGGGGAAACCCCATCCACAATAGCCGAACAACTTGTCAGCTTCGCCTTGTTACATCAATTAGACTCTAAACCGCACCACCTACAGTGGAGTGGGCGGAAGTGGGTGGAAGTGGGTGGAAGTGGGTGGCAGGTGGGTGGTGCAACAGGGGGTAGTGGATCATAATGTGCGCTTGGTTGAGCTTCATCGTCGGCGGCACGGCGAATGCAAACAAACAACAAACAAACGACAGAATGGAAAATTCGAATGAGGGAATGATGCTGAGAATACCGACGATGATGATGATGACGGCCAGCCAGCTGTTTTCATTGTTAAAACTTTCCCGGATCAGCATAGATTGCCGAAATAAGTAAAAAAAAAAAATAATAATAAAATACTTTAGCCAGGAAGCACGTGGAAAATGCATTTCTAACGTGCACCACAAACGCGAGCCACGAATCGTGGCAGGTGGGGAAAAAACGGGACGAAGGACTACGGATATCAGAGTGGTTAATTATTTGTTTAACTGGCCCAACACGCAACCACATTCGGAATCGTTTAGCCCCGCTTATAACTTGATGGTTTGTTAATGTAAGATTAATTTCGCTCTAACATCTCCATTGTATTCGAAATGAATGGAGGGCGTGGAATGAGTAGACTGTGAAAAAAAAGATACTATCTGAGGGAGGTTGTTATTCTTAGCCCTCTTCGAATGGTTAAACAGGCGACATAATGATACGCGTAGCAAGTTATAGGTTCATAGTTAAATACATCATAATTAATTTAAATAAATCAAGAATAACATACAAAATTATTAAATGGAACTTTTTAACCAGGAGGGTGTGTCAACGTCTCTTTGATTCTCTTTTAAATCATATCTTAACCAAGTTAAGAAGACTTTCGTTTCATCAACTTTAATATTTTTGCTTGAACCAATGATTTGGCGACCTACTTATGAAAAAATTTAAATTTGATATATTCCAATTTAGTAGCTCGGCGGCGTCGCAAGGAGGGAAGACAACGCCGCCAAAGGACCACTTTCAGCACCGAACAGACCCTGCGTCTGGAGGTGGAGTTCCATCGAAACGAATACATCTCCAGGAGCCGTCGGTTCGAGTTGGCCGAGACGCTTCGCCTAACGGAGACGCAAATTAAAATTTGGTTCCAGAATCGCAGAGCCAAGGACAAGCGTATAGAAAAGGCTCAGATCGATCAGCACTATAGGTGAGTCTTTCATACTATTCCATTCATTTGATATAGTAGTTATAATAATATAATAATTTTATATGTTTTGTTTTTTTTTATTAAATTTAATTAACACATATAAGCCCATTTCTTTAATCTTGTATAGTTTTGTAATTAATAATTAAAAAACGCAGGAATTTAAGAGAATTGAGGATTGTATTTATAGAAATTATGATAGGTGCACAAATAATCTATACGATTTATAGGTAGAGCAATGGGTTAGTGAAATTTAAATTGTTATTATATAACACTATATTAGTTTTTAAATACTTGGATAGGTTTTGACTTAGTTTTTTTCAAATCCAAAGCAACAAACGAAATGAACTCAACTAAAACTGAAGCCTTTGAAAACCTATTGATGGATGGCTCGTGAAGAGGATTTTACTTGATAGTTATATCCCTATTTTTGAAACGGAAGTAATTTAAGGAAATGTCACAAGTTTAATTGATAGCCAACATAAAATTAACACGAAATTAATTTTACGACATTTATGCGCCCACAGACGCAATTAGGCGATAGCAAATGCCAACCCCGCCTCCTTTTTTGAGGGGTTGTCCTGCGACAGGAGTTTTGCTCGAAATTATTTTGATGTAATCAATTTTTCAGAAACTTTGTCGTGGCCAATGGTTTTATGAGCTCTATAATGGGTCAAACGCCGGCGACCATGCCCCCTGGAGGCGTGGCAGGAGGCTTGGGAGTGGGCGTGGGCTATTTTCCAGCGACAGCAACGTCGGCAGCGCTGCCCAAGGATAACACGCAGGATGCCCATTTTATCGACATCGATGGCCAGTACGAACAAAAACTACAACTACAACAGCAGCAACGACGCCGAGCAGGAACCACAACGCTTATCAACACTTGCTAGCATTTTCGTATCTACTTTAATTGAGCTTTAAACTGTTTACATTAAGTCACTAATTAAATAAATAAATAGCTGTAATATAGCCACCTTTAAGTTTTTTTTCCTGCAGTCACTCACTTATCACGCGCCTTTGTTTTCGTTAAGCATTTTTTGATTCAAGAAGACAACAATTAATTTGTTTATATAAGTTGGAAGCGAAGACAACAAATTTGTAAAAAACCAAAACAGCCAAACCAACAAACAATAAAATCAGCCCTGGTGGGCAGACAGCTGTTGCTGCTAATAATATCGATATCACTATCGATAGGCATGTAGGGTTCGAAGTCCAGTTTGAACCACTCTTCGTCCCTGTCGTCTCAAATATATTGAAATTAAGCTAGTAAACGAAGAAATAATAACTATTTTCAAGCTGAACATTTAAATCTTAAAGCCCTTAAATTTTGACTTTGAAAATTAATAGCTTGAGTGGCAAAGAAACTATTTCGTATATATTATATATATCGTATATAACGCTGTTGTTTTTAAAAACATGCAAGCACTAAAGCACTAAGCTCTTATCTTTAACAAAGATGTGTTTATATAATTAATGTTATATACTCAAACCAGAAAATGCGATAGACGACTGTTATCTCTTTAACAATAAATAAGGCACAGCATAAATGCCGGTACAACTCTAGGTTTTAAGTCAGTGTATTCAAATGCCACGGTGCTTTAGCTCGAATATTTAGCAAAATGAAATCGGAGCATATAGTTTTTATTCTGTCGGTTTTCGTCTTGACACATCTTTCTCAGGCGCAAGGTGCCAATTATCCGCAGGATTTGCAATCGACGAATCAAAATCTGGAAAACAAATGCAGGGATTATTGTTTTTCGGGCATCAAACCAATTTCTGATAACGTTGATAACGTCGATGAACTTAAAGGTTCTATTAAAGATTTGCAGTGTAAATTGGCAATTGCTGAAAATCAAATTCAAATTAAAGACCAAATAAATATAAAAGATAAGGAAATATTTGAAAAAACTGAACAACTTAAATGTAAAGATATCCTTATAAAACAAAAAGATCAGATAATTGAAGATCAAAAAGAGGAGATTCTGAAAAAAGATGAAAAAATAAATGCTATGACAGCTATTATTCATAACTGTAACAATCAATTAGTATATGCTGAAGGTTAAATTAAAATCAAAGAAGAGCTTTTAAATTTTAAAGTTGAAGAAATAAAAGTCAAAACTGAAAACCTTAAAAGCAAGGAAGACCTCATTGAATCAATAAATAAACAAAGAACGGACCAAGTTAAACAGATTGAGAACAAAGTGAATGAAATTAATATTATAAGTAACCAAGTGAAGGATCTCAAGTCAGAGATTTTAATCAAAGATCAGCAAATTAAAACAGTTCAGGAGGAGTTCACCGCAAAGCTTGTGAAGTGCAATCAACCGGAAACGTGTCCCTCCGGCATTTACAAAATTAACAAACACGGAATGGCTCCGTTCGAAATTCCCTGCAAGTTAGACGGTTGGATGGTCATTCAAAGGCGTCAGGACGGGTCAGAGTCCTTCACTCGCCACTGGCAGGATTATAAGGATGGATTTGGCAATGTAGAAAGGGAATTCTTCATCGGGCTCGAAAAACTTTACCAGCTAACTAACGCCGTTCCACACGAACTCTACATTAAACTTGGAACACTTGAGGGAGTCTACAAGTACGCTCACTATAATGATTTCAAAATCGGTAGCGAACAAGAGTTTTATGAGCTTAAAGCACTGGGGAATTATTCCGGATCAGCCGGAGACTCCCTAATCCGCCATAAAAATAAAAACTTTTCCACCTTCGATCGGAATAATGATCCTTCTGGTGCCGATTGCGCTGAAAAAAACAATGGTGGTTGGTGGTTTGCCAATTGTTTTGACAGGTATTTCGAATTTTAAATTTTAAAATGCATATATTGAAAACATTTTATTTGCAGTGCTCTTAATGGAAAATACCACAAAAATGGACAATCAAAGAGCCAAGAAGGAGTTAATTGGTATTATTGGAACAACGACTATACGACCTCGTTTACTTTTGTTGAAATGATGATTAGACCCAATTTAAAAATAGAAAATTAAAAACAAATATATTTCACAATTAAAAAATATTTTTGGTAATGATTAAATTATTAACTAATAAAACTATGCAAATCAATGTTTTATATCTATTTTTATACTTTGAAATATACAACTTCTTAAGGATATTCAGATATAAGTGAAATCGGGCAGGTACGGGATAAATATTTATTTATTTAAAAACCTAGCACTTCAAGTAACACTTATTATTTAATGTGTTATTTTATATAATTTAAAAAAGAATAAAAGAACAAAACAGGAAACAAATTTTTAGGGAATCAAGTAAGAATTAAACAATTTTTAAAATTTCAGCGTACATAAAATATTTTTTACTTGGGTACCCCTAATAAATGCGAAATATCGAATACCCAAAACACTAACTATCGATAGTGTCAACGTTGATTTTAATGTCATCCGTTTGCCCGTCACAATTTTCTTCTTCTTCGCTTCGCCTTTCAACCTGCAATTCGGATTTCTGTTTGTTAATTTGTTAATTTGGTTGAATCGCAAGTAGGAACATGGCTAGTTCGGTGCACGTGAAGGTCGAGGTTCCGCCGGAGGACAATTCGGATGTGATTGTGATACCCGATCGCGAGGATGATGTAAGTTTCGCTTGAAAAAGAAATTCACACGTATGCGTGTGTGTGTTTGTCTGTGGGTCGGCGAGTGACGCATTTAAATGCGTTCTCCTGTGTACATACCTCCCACTTTTTCGCCCACTTACCACCACTTACCAATCCCCTCCCCCCGGCAGGACATATGTGAGCTGGAGCACTTGCGTAAGCTGTTCATTGGCGGACTGGCGCCGTACACCACCGAGGAGGGCCTGAAAGTGTTCTACGGCCAGTGGGGCAAGGTGGTCGATGTGGTGGTGATGCGCGATGCGGCCACCAAAAGATCCCGCGGCTTTGGCTTCATCACCTACACAAAGTCGGTCATGGTGGACAGGGCCCAGGAGAACAGACCGCATATCATCGACGGAAAGTGAGTATAGAGCCTAAGGCTCTGTCTTGTGTATGGGTTATTAACTGTATCCCCATCTTTTCCAGAAACGTGGAAGCCAAGCGAGCTCTGCCGCGTCCTGAGCGCGAATCGCGTGAGACCAACATATCCGTCAAGAAGTTGTTCGTGGGCGGTCTCAAGGATAACCACGACGAGGATTGCCTGCGGGAGTACTTTGTCCAGTTCGGACGCGTGATCTCTGTTAAATTACTCACTGACAAAACCACCGGCAAGCGCCGTGGCTTCGCCTTCATCGAGTTTGACGACTACGACGCCGTTGACAAGGCCATTCGTAAGTATGTGGCTTAAAATCGAAGCCAGGTCTATCTTTAAGGGGGTGCCATGAAAATATCTTTCAGCAAAATGTTTGTTCCAACAAGATATATATCTGTCGCATATTGACATATTGCCTTCTACTGTGAATCGTTCAATGGAGCTTATACTCTGAACTATGATAAGACTTTTAATTCTTTACTTTTCTAAAGCTTCTCTTACACAACTGTTATATTAATTATATGTATATTTATATATATATGTTAAAAAAACTTTATACTTTACAGTTCAAAAACAGCATTCGATCAAGTACGTGCACGTGGATGTGAAAAAGTCCATCTACAACCTGGAGAAAAAGGACAAACAGCAGCAAGGAGCCTTGGCCAACGGCACCAAGCCGCCGCTCAATCAGCAGCAGCAGCAGCAACAACAACCGCCGCCACCACAGCAGCAGCAGCAACAGCATAACGGCAACATGCAGGTGGCTGCCTACCGTCCACCCGTGCCACCGCCCCAGGCCATGCCCCCCTACCACCAGCAGCCACCACCGCCCCCCATGAACGCCCCGCCACCAAACTACAACTACTGGGGACCTCCTCCCCCGTCAATGCAGTCCTATTACCAACAGCCCCCACCGCCGCAGATGAACGCCTGGGGTCCCTATCCGCCGGTGCAAAACGGCTGGAACGCACCACCCCCACCGCCCCCCGGTGCCCAGCAGTGGCATCCCGGCCAGTGGGGTTGTCCGCCGCCAGTGCAGCAGGTCCCTCCGGCTGGGGCAGTGCCACCAAACATGGGCCACAACGGACCGCCGCCTCCGGCTCCTGGTAACTGGAACATGCCGCCCAACGCACCGCCACCGGTGCCGGGAGCACCAGCGCCGCAGGGACCGCCATCACACCAGCAGGCTCCACAGCAGCAGCCGCCACCACCGAACTTCGGCAGCGGCTATCAGCAGAGCTACGGAGGCGGACCGACCAAGCACAATAGCATGAATGCCAATCGCATGAATCCCTACGCGGCTGCGCCGCCCAACAACTACCGTAGGTGGAATCAAGCAGAAGTAATCTGTATTGACTAATCCGGATTACTTATAGACAATCCCCAACCTCCGGCATATCCGCCCTACAATGCTGGAGCTCCGCCGCCTAACGGAAGCGTTCTGTCATCGACTGGCGCCAAGGCGGTGGGAGTGTCCAACGGATCGGTGGCTACGGGAGGCAGTGCCAACAGCAAGTACCGCCGTTAGAACGGGTGAGTAGATGGTGCAATTGCAACCTGTCCCCTCCATTAGTCGTTTGTTTTAAATGTGACCTATGCATAAGAGAGAGAGAGAGACCCCAATACGTCTTGCCACCCATATACAAACTGCCCCAGATGGACTATGTCTGAAATCTCGGTTAGGAACAGTTTCTCGACTGACAGTTAATGTTTTCCGTACATTTAAGAGCCTGTTTCTTTAAAGGGGTACCATGTGAGAGAGTTGCACATACTCGTTTAGTTGAAAATCGAATTTTCAGAAGGGTAGCTAACTGGCACCTTAACTGGCAGTCGAGAAACCGGCCCTCTTTATATATTAATACTAATGTGTAACGTTCTCTTTGATTTAGATGCTCTCTGGGCGGCTTAAGCCCATAAATCAAGATACTGTTAAATAAGCTCGTTGATAAGCTAGGGCCACACTCGCTTAGAGTTACTAACAGGAAACATAACGCATTGTCTCTCTATCATAGGACAACTAACCACGGTTTTATTCTACACTTAAGATATACCAAATCTACGATCGACCTAAGCTATGCCACAGACTATGTATTAATATTTTCTACACCGTATTGGCAGGAGAAAGCACTTCTCCCGTTTCGATTTACTTTAGACATATTTATGTAACCCCTAAATCGTAGAATATGCCCGAATACGATATGACATAAAGCTCTCTATTTGAATCCAACCAACTATCTCTCTGTCTGTAAAATGAAGCAAGCGACGGTGATGGAAGGAGAATTGCAAGCAATAAATCAATTAATAATTAGATCATATGACGCAGCTGTAGCCTGAGCTTATTGGCCCAAAACGAATAGCTTAATCGTAGATACCTATGTATTACCAAAACCATTCAAATAAGATATACGTCCAAAAAGAAAAAAAAAAAAAACAAACTGCTTAGATGCGAAAACATACGAAAATATACGAAGCCAATGCGGAATTGGGTTACAAATAAAATCAAACACTGAGCCGGCGGCCGTGGCACGGATGCGTGGCCTTACCATCAATGTACACAAGAGTTGATATCAAAACTATTGTCAATTTTTATAAGGAGCAAAACAGATGCTTATACACTGTAACGATGTTGACGGTTTCTACTCAAGTCGCCCACGATGTTTATTTATTTCATCTGTTTTCATTTTCCTTGTATGACAAACTTGAAATACTAATACTAATAATATACTGCAAAATATTGCTAAGAAATTCTATGTATTTCATTTCGGACCATGACACGAACTATAAGTTAAGTTTATATATTCAGATTATCTAAATGTATGCCTCTTCCTCCTCTCTCTTCTATTTGTATATATGAATAAGCTTACGTTCTGTAGCGCACGCCAAAGGCTTTGAATTGATCTATGAATTAAATACAATTAAATTAAATTATGTATTGAGATAAGAGGAGGCTCAGTCCACCATTTGCCAGCTTCATTTAGAGCTCCTCTGCTACATTTGCGAAATACAACACTAATCACTTAACCGAACTATATGAAAATCCATATTTATTTTAAATAAATAAAACTTAAAAACAACACTATGTATTTGTTTTAGCTGCCGATATGTAAGTCTCTTTCTCCTTGGGCGCAGTCTAAGTAGCAATAAACTAAACTATTTACCTCAAGATCTAGTTAACTTTATGCAATTCTAGGTACAAACAGTTTCGATCTAATTTTAAACATATTCTACTCGTATTACCCAAGATTGCCAAGCCGTAAAATGCTTGAGACAAGCTTTATTCGTAAGGTAAGTTAGAGACGGAGATCCGGGGTGTATTACGGATCCTATCTAGGATACACTATAGTTTCTATAAGTGCGCTTAAGTTCCTGCTTTATATGTAGTATGTCACGATTCAATTTATTTCGTTTTTATAAAGCAAACAACTATTTCTTTTTCAAAAACTTGAGATTCGCTGGAGATGCCTAAAATTTGGAAGACCCAAAAGCTCGCTGTAAATAAAGTAAGGTAAGTGAAAGACTCGCTGTGATTTTGTTTTAATTTTGAAAGTAATACGAATAATAAAGAGCTACTGAATTCGAGGCAATCTGTGTTTTTGTGTTTTCATTCCAAGCGAACATGTTGGGAGCCAACATGTTGGCGGTGGACCCCAGAAGATGGGCAATGCTCCAGTTTAGCGATCCGTAATCGTTTGGAAGCTTTTCCAAAGGCAAACAGTCGCTTGCCATCCGCCAAACCGCTTAGACATTTGAAAGGGAACACTTCCTATAACCATACAGTGAGTATCTACAGTGAAGCAAAGGATTGAGTGCGGATTAAACGGATTGAAAAGTAGTGTGTGTCATAGAGTCTTCAAGTACAGATACTTTGTTTGTTTCTCAAATTACTGCGAGTTCAGCTTTTGTTCAAGTTCAATGTTCTTTGATATTGGCAAACAGTCATCGATCGTTACGGAATTAATTGAGCTCAATTTTCGATGAAATTTGCCAAATTGATTTGGTAAAACTCGGGACAGTTTTAAGACAGACAAACCGAAATCAAAGTCAGTTAAGTGATGTGCAAGGTCATCTGTTGCCATCATCATCATCATCGTCGTTGAAAAAATTGCAGTTCCGCAAATACAAATAAATTGTTTTTACGGGAGGAGGCCTCATTTCACTCGCGATTCATTGGCCCCTCCAACATAAACACATTGCATCTTGGACGCTGCATCACGTCATTGTTTCTAGTTTTGTCGGTATAATTAAACTGTGATGCTGCCGCAGTCAGTGTATACGCCATCTGGAATGCACTGCAACCGCATTCAACTCGGATGCATATTCCTGGAAGCCCCGAGATCTCGTATATACATTTTTCAATTGCAAGATACATGGCTGCGCCATTCACTTGATATTTTGCGACACAAAAGCGACGATTAAGCACATCTTAGTGCCCAAAACGGAAGCGACCGATCCTGATAAGAGGCGGTGAGGCCAAGTCGGGCCTGCGATAAGACAAATGTGTCGTTGGGCAATTAAATGTACCATATAGCACATGTCCTAAGTCGAAACATAGAACTAGGGCGACGTCTTCAACTGATTATGCAGGGAGTGTGGAAATTCGGTTTGAATTGAGTCCGTATTTATAGCTTAAGGTCAGCTTTAATCAGGGATATAGCTGCTAAACACATGTATTCGTTCAAATACATGTATAACACGTACATTTCTGATTTGTCGATGATTTCATAAGCATATTTTAAAAAGCTCTGAACTGGAAAACATATGTTCAACATGCCTTAAAGTTCTCATTACTTGCGGTTGCAATAGTGAGAAAGGCAAAGGAAATGAAAAATAAATATTTAAAATTGAAAGATTTTGTCCAGTACCTAAGACTATTTTCCATAAACACCTTTACTTTAATTTAAGAACTGAAATATGCATCTTCTCTATCCGTTTTCCCCATTTTCTGACTACAATGATTTGCATTGTTTTCGAAGTGCTTGTCCCAGATCTATAAATTAATTTCCTCGTAAAGGGAGAATTTCTGCATCTCTTTCTGCGCTGTGTATTGGCGGTGACCTTTTGAACCCTGCAGCAGAGGCAGGCAAGATTTCAGCGGCTTCTTCAATTGTTTTCAATGAGAAAAAGACGCCGCATTTATTAGCCCATCGCGATGTAAAAACCACCCCATAAGGGTGAGTTACAAGACTGGCGACCGTTAAATATTTTTACTGGGGTACAGTAACGCTGATGAAACAGTCGAAAACACCTTTTTGTTACAGACAAATATTCTTATTTCTAATGGGCCAAGGCCAAGGCTTATCTCAAAGTTAATTGGATTTTCCCACTCATTTTAATGACCTTTATAAATATAGATTTGGCACTTGTTGATTATAGAAAAATATAAATTTTAAAGCACTTCATTTCAAAATAAAGTAGACCCAAAAAAAATCACTTTTGTTAAAAACTCGTTTATTTAAGCCCCCTCATTTGGCTACTTGTTTATCAAAAAAATTGTACAATTTTTATTTAAGTAGCCTAATAAATTAGCCGAATTAGTCGAAAAAACTAACATATAAAAAATCAAATAAATAATGTTTAGACCAGCATATTTAAATTATATAAAATTGAATGGTACTTAAAACTCTTTGCGATGGGAATATTATTTTCTCATTGACATAAACCACTGCAGTTCAGACCGCTAACAAAATGCGCTCCCTTTGGCTGCTGCTCGGCTTGGGGCTGCTGGTTTTGAGCCAGGTGCAGGCCTCTACGGATGCTGAGGATGAGCTGTTGGACCTTGACCTGTCCGACATCGATGAGAACGAGGAGGAGTATCTGCGCCTGTTGGAGGAGAAGGCCAAGGTGGGTGTCCCGGCCATAAAAGGTGGCTCCTTATTACAATAACCAATTCCATTTCCAGATCAAGGACGTGGAGCGGGAGAACGAGATTGTCAGCAAGTTGGCTGAGGTTCAGCACAATCTGCTCAATCCCGTCGTGGAGGTGGATCTCTGCGAGACGATGCCCTGCGGAGCCGGTCGCATCTGTCAGATGCACGACGAGAAGCCCAAGTGCGTGTGCATACCGGACTGTCCCGAGGAGTTGGACTCCCGCCGCCTGGTGTGCACCAACACCAACGAGACCTGGCCGTCGGACTGCTCCGTCTACCAGCAGCGCTGCTGGTGCGACAGTGGAGAGCCCGGCTGCACGAATGTGGACAACGCGCACATGCACATCGACTACTATGGAGCCTGCCACGAGCCGAGGACCTGCGATGGCGAGGACCTGAAGGACTTCCCGCGGCGCATGCGCGACTGGCTGTTCAACGTGATGCGGGATCTGGCCGAGCGGGATGAGCTGACCGAGCACTACATGCAGATGGAGCTGGAGGCGGAGACCAACAACTCGCGTCGCTGGTCGAACGCCGCGGTCTGGAAGTGGTGCGACCTGGACGGCGACACCGATCGCTCCGTCTCCCGTCACGAGCTCTTCCCCATCCGAGCCCCACTGATCAGCCTGGAGCACTGCATTGCCCCCTTCCTCGAGTCGTGCGACGCCAACAACGACCATCGCATCACCCTGGTGGAGTGGGGCGCCTGCTTGGAGCTGGATCCCGAGGACCTCAAGGAGCGTTGCGACGATGTCCAGCGAGCTCAGCCCCATCTTTTGGGTTAACCCCAAAAGACCAGATGGTCTTTATTTACCCTTTAAGAATCGTACTAACTACTTGATTCCTTAATCCAATAATTTCTACATTTGCAATTGTCTTGTGAGCTTGATGTTTAATGAAAATAAATGATAAATTCTTAAAAGTACCCCAAATTCTTTTCAATTTCTTGATGAAAATCATTAACTATTAAAGTTTAGCAAGGATAAGTAAAAATACAGATATTTCATTAAGAATTTAATTAGTCTCATCTTTCAAAGCTTGTTTGATTTGAATTATATACCATAAAGAATCCAATCAAAGTTAAAACTTATAGAACTGTTCATATTAATTGGGTGTGTGAACCTCAAAAATAATTTTTTTTCTTTTCCAATAAGTTGTTATTTTTCTTTGGGCAGTTATATTTTTATTGTTTTTACAAATATAGAAATAAGTGTTTTGTCTCGAGATAAATGCGATTAATAAAAGTAATTTTTAAAATCTGTTTTTTTTTTTTTACAATTTGAATAATTTACCATCTAGTTTCAATACTTTACATTCATTGCCACAATTGCAAAACATCTCGGGTGAGTTTTGGAAATAACAGGATTGGCGTTTTTATTATAGTTTTTATTAAATTTATTCGTGTAATTACTTTGCTCTAAATTAAGTTTTGTTTTTGTTTCATACTTAACCTCGCCAAGAACGTGTGCGGGTAAATACGTTTTGTGTGTGTTTTTTTTGTATGTTGTATATGCTTGTGAGTGTTGGGGGATGCTAGAATTACATAGTTATGCATTACGTTGTATATAAGAAGTATGTGCTGTCGCACAGAAATGATTACAACTCGTCGGTTTGTTAGCTTGTCTCTTCTGAAATCTGAATTAAAAATTAATTTCGCATGTTTTGAAGGCGTGCAAATGCTGGATTGCTTAGTAGGCCTGCGACAGGATGACGTTGCCCTTCCGCTGTGGGTCCTGCACGGTGTCCTCTTTCTTCCCGATCAGCGACTTGTGTATGTGCGGGATGACACCACCGCCGGCAATGGTTGCCTTGATCAGGCTGTCCAGCTCCTCGTCTCCGCGAATGGCTAACTGTAAGTGGCGCGGCGTTATACGTTTCACCTTCAGATCCTTTGATGCGTTGCCTGCCAACTCTAGAACCTGCAATGGTCACAATAAAGCAAAGGAATTAGTCATTGAAATGCGATGATGATTGACAAAACAATCCTAGTTTTTTTTATTTAAACATTTTAATTAAAAAAAATCAACAGTATTCATGTGAAATGTTCATATAAGATTTTGCTGCTATGTAAATAATAAATAAAAAAAATAATAATAAAAGCGAAACTTTACGATTCAAGAAATCATTACTGTTGTTAAAATATGTTAATTAAAAATTCAAAACATAACAACTGTATATACAACTAATAAAATATACAAAATTTATAATTAAATATAAAAACATTAAGAGATAAGCTATCGTTAAATGTTAATTTCCGGAAATGACAATAAGAACCGTTTAACAATGATAATTATAAATCTTAAAAATTATATTCAAATTTAAATTGTGAAAACACGCCTATCCCTAGAATTTCAAAAGAAAACTGCAAATTTTCATCATTGCCTTTCGATTTTCCCACAACATTTGCAATTGGAAAAGTGCCGCTACAACGCTGGCCTGAGAAAAGCGGGAAAACTGAGCGGACTCACCTCGGCGGTCAAGTATTCCAATATGGCTGCGGAGTAGACGGCTGCGGTGGCTCCGACGCGTCCGTGGGATGTGGTGCGGCTTTTCAGGTGTCGGTGGATACGACCCACGGGAAACTATACACAACGAATAATAATTATTAATCCGGCTTGTTTATGTTTTGCCACCCCCACCCCCCGCCAAAGCACAGTATGTGGTGAACATGCTCGCTGGCGAGGTGAGAACGGAAAAGGCGCCAAAACGGAGGTACAGATTGTACACTCACCTGGAGACCCGCGCGCGCCGATCGCGATACCGCCTTCGCCTTGGCCTTTCCGGAATCCTTGCCTGCTTTACCGCCAGCCTGCAAAGCACAACAACGCATTTAATTACAAAATGCAGAAACACACAAAAACACAAGCGGTAAAAACACAAAATGGAGGCGCCGCTGCAATTGTGAGGTTACGGCCGAACGCCCCAGCAGCACAATAACAAATCCCGCCGTTTTCGGGGGCTCCATCACTTCTGCGCTACGTGGTGTCCAATTGGGCACATTTGTGCATCGCCAAACTGCATCAATATTTAATTCGCAGGGGGCACGCGCACTGCGAAAAGCGAGCTGCGCTGCCGCTCAAATTTCGCCAAAAATTACCATTTCTGTTCAATCGATTTTTCTGCGTTTGTTAGCTGCGCTTGCGAAATGCTCTGGGCACTGGGTTTCTCTCTGACGCGATGGGAATGATTGTTGCAACGAGCGAACCGGAGCGTAAAGGTTTCTGGGAATTACTCTTCGAACGCGACTTGCCCACTTGAAAATTTTTTTACGGAAAAAAGACGCCGTCAGCGGTAGAGGTGGGAAAACATCGACATCATCGATGTTTTCAAAATATCGGTTCTATCGATGTTTGGCGGGGGCTATCGATGTTTATCTTTCCATCTCTCTCCTTCGTTAGGTCGACGTTTCGCTAACATTTCGATGTTAGTTCGACGTTCCGCTAACATTGCACTGCAAAACACAAACCCACCACAAGCACGTAATTTCACCGCTCGATCGACGTCATCGATGTTTTCTTGCCACTGTTAGCTCTCACTCCAGTTATTGCGCACTTTTATTTCAAACATCGATGTTTCCCACCAAAAACATCGATGCCATCGATTAATATCAATTTACGTTTCAGGGTTGCCAGGCGTTCGGAAACAAAGTTATAAACTATCGTAAGAATCAGCGGGTAATTTGAATTATTAAAAATGAAGTATCGAGATAGTGAAACAAGAATCACAATAGCAAATTTAAACATCGTGAACTTGTAACAAGCTTAAAAGAATTGTTTTATTTAAAACTTACACTTTTATATATATTTTCTCTGTGCCGTCAGCTGACAACCCTGTAAGACGCTTCTGCCCGCGCCGAGTGGCAACCCTGTTGTCCCGGCATTTCGAGCGGAATTTGCGAATTTTGTACTTAGCCACAGAATAGCAAGAACATGCCGCGTGTAGCCAAGCCGAAAGCTGCTGCGCCGGCCAAAAAGGCTGTGCCGGCCAAGAAGCCCAAAAGCAAGTTGTACGCGATGCCGGAGAAGTTGGAGGAGGGCACAATACTGACAGATTTGGCCAAGGGCCAGTGGCGCATTGGGCCCTCGATCGGAGTGGGAGGATTTGGTGAGATCTATGCCGCCTGCAAGGTCGGGGAGAAGAACTACGATGCGGTGGTTAAATGCGTGAGTTGCAGCTGGAGTTTCCTACTTGGAGATTCCTACTAAAATCTGTATTTTTCCAGGAGCCCCATGGCAATGGTCCTCTTTTCGTGGAGATGCACTTCTACCTGCGCAATGCCAAGCAGGACGACATCAAACAGTTCATGCGAAAGCACGGCATCAAATCCCTGGGCATGCCATACATTTTGGCCAACGGATCCGCAGAGGTCAATGGGGAAAAACATCGATTTATAGTAATGCCGCGCTACGGCAAAGACATCTCAAAGTTCCTGGAGGAGAATGGCAAACGTCTGCCCGAGGGCACTGTCTACCGGCTGGCAATTCAGATGCTGGACGTCTATCAGTTCATGCACGGCACTGGATACGTTCATGCCGATCTCAAGGCCGCCAACATTCTGCTTGGCCTGGGAAAAGGCGGTGCAGCACAGGCTTACCTCGTGGACTTCGGTTTAGCCTCGCACTATGTCACAGGCGACTTCAAGCCGGACCCCAAGAAAATGCATAACGGAACCATTGAGTACACATCCAGGGATGCCCATTTGGGTGTGCCCACCAGGCGGGCTGATCTGGAGATACTGGGCTATAATCTTATTCATTGGCTGGGGGTGGAGCTGCCCTGGATCACGCAAAAACTTCTCACTTCCCCTCCCAAAGTACAAAAGGCAAAGGAGGCTTTCATGGAAGACATAGGCGAGAGCCTTAGGCTTCTGTTTCCGAAAGGAGTTCCCGCTGCTATTGGGGATTTTATGAAGTATGTCTCCAAACTAACGCACAACCAGGAGCCGGACTACGAAAAGTGCCGCAATTATTTTCTCAGTGCTCTCAAGCAACTAAAAATATCTAACAGCGGGGATCTGGACTTCAAGCTGAAGCCACAGACTAGCAGCAACAATAACCACAGTCCAGCAGGCACCAGCAAGGCAGCAGTAGCTAAGCGGGCAAAGAAGATTGAATCTCCCGCAGTGGACTCGTCTCTAGAGGAGGTAATCTCCGCCAGCGAAGAAGAAGAGGAGGAGAAAGTGAAAGCACCACGCAAGAAGGCTGCTAAGAAGGTATCTCCGGCAGCGCGCAACCACAAAGTTTCGCCCTTAAAGCGATCCGCCCCTGCCTCAGCCACACAAGATACGCCACCCAGTCAAAAGAGGGTGAAGACTGAGCCAAAGTCCACTCCCAGGCCAAGGGAGACACCCAAGGCCAGTCCTAAGCCACACACGCCCGCTGCAGCCAGGCTTAGAACGCCCAATGCCAGTGCCAAGATCAATTTCAGTCCATCCGTTTCCCTGCGTGGTCGTCCCGGCGGCAAAACCGTGGTCAACGACGATCTGACCCCGCAGCCGCGTTCCAACAAGACCTACGAGTTCAACTTCGAGCTGGACGTGAGCATGGACGCCAACGTGATTGTGAACGTCAAGCGTAAGAAGAAGGCGGCCCCTGACCAGGCGTCAACGGTTGAATCGAGGACACCCTCATCCCGCAGCCAAGCCAGTTCGAAGGACGAGAGCTCCCCCGTGACCCGGTTGAACATTCGTAAGATGAACGGCCACGGGGACGGTTCTCCGTCTTCCGGACGTAGTCCGCGCACACCCGGCGTCGTCGTGCGCAAGTACAAGCGATAGGTCGCGAGTCTTTGTTTTTCTATATTTTATTATTAATGGCTCATTGAATAAAAAAGGTCATTATTATTTTCCAACATTTACTTATATCTGGCGTTTCTATTCAGTCGAAATATGGTAACTGATGCAGCAAAAATGATCAATCAAAGCTGTATATTCTTAAATCTTTTAGACATTTCTGTTGTAATCATATTTATATAATATAATTTATTAAAGAAATGCACATATAAATATACAAAAACTTAGTTGAATTTATAGCTTGCAATTACCGTTATCAAATGTTCAGAATGTAATCGATTTATAATTCTGACTTAAACTTTATACTTAATTGTTAGGAGTGCCTAATCACTGCTTCGACCTGCGCTTGCTGCTCCCGCTTTCGTGGTGCTTGGAGGAGCTACTCTTGGAACTGGACTTGGCACTGGAACTGCTGCGCCGCGACGAAGACGTGCCACTGCTGCTGTGCTTCTCCAGACCTCCGATGGCACTAAGTGAGGGCGTTGCCGACGACTTAGACGATCGCTCCTCCTTGTGCGACTTGGACGAGGACGATGAGGAGGACTTGTGTCCGTGCTTGCTGCTGCTACTGCTGCTGGCATTGGTCGAACTGCTGGGCTCGGGCCTGTAGAACGGCGACGAGGAATTGGAGGAGTTGGAGGAGCGCGACGAGGCCACCGAGGACTTGGCCTTGCTGGTCAGAGGCATGGGTTCGTCGGTTATAAAGACCGTGGGCGTGACGGCCGGCGCAGAGGAGGTGATTCTACCACTGCTTGTGGGCTTATTGCAGCACGTGTCGCACTGCCAGGTCTGCTCCTGGTCGTCGGCCGCCTCCTCCTTTGTTATGGGTGGCTTATGGCACTCCTGGTGGTACATGGCACCGCACTTGGAGCACTCTATCAGCCGGTTGGTAGCCGTGAAGACCATTTCGCCGCACACGCAGCAATTGAGATCCCCAAAGTCGCCGGTATCTCCTGTGTTAACTATGCCCACGGCACTCAATCCGTCATCTGAATCGGCTATGGTGTCCACCGAATCCGAGGGCTCCTTGTCCGGGGAGTTGGTTAAATTGATGATCTCGTCCGCGTTGATCGGTTGCTGCGGGGGCGTGGCAGCCCGGCCCGGAAAGTTGGCCTCATCCTCCAGCATCCGCTGGCTCATGTTGCTGGTCAAACTTTTCTCCGGACCAAAACGTGATTTCAGAGCCTCATCGAAAAGCAGGCGTAATTCGGCCGCCGAGGTGGGATTACTTGAGTGCAGCAGCTTGATGGCCTTCTTCAGCACGGGGTCTACTTCTTGGGTAGCTGCCAAGTCCATGTTAAAACCGTTTAAAATCCGGATAAACAAATAAATGCAATTTTTGCAAAGGCAACAGCTGTTTATTAGACCAGTGTTGCCTCATTCTCTTCTTCTTGATAGTCGCTGTTATTAACCTGTAAACGTATGGCGGGAAATGGTTACTTTAAATGTATTAATTAGCTAGATTCAAGCATAGTTTCATTTTTTTTGTTTTAGAATCTACCTACGTAACAAAATTAAGAAAATTTCCCTCGAATCCTTATTGTTTTCCTGTAATTGATTTGTTTGTCGTTTTTGAATATGCAACAGCTGTTTGAGCAGTGTTACCACACCGACACCCTCTTTTTCTTCTTCTTATCCAATACAATTTGCCTGTAAACGTAAAATAACAGTTTCCAGAGGCAGTGTTGTTTTTTTTTGCCAGGTAATTTAGCCGCATATAAAAGCGGCTGCAATTAATGTAATAATAGATCTTTAGCTATTGGTAACGCCTGGCATTATTTATTTCGTGCAACTGCGTCGCCAGCGAGTGTTTTGTTGTTGTGCAGTGCGTAGAAGAAAAATAAACCTGCGAGCGGCAGTTGAAAAATCGAAGCAGAGAGCCAATTGGAAAGACAATAATAACTTGGCTCTCTCTCAAAATAAACAGTTAGCTTGTGATAAGAAAAATAAAATTTCTTTGTGTGCGCAAAAAAAGTGATTATCTTAAGGGGAATTAGTAATAAACAAACTGCAGGGGTTTCCAGTGCTTTGACATTTTTCGTGGAAATAAATTTTAGAGCCTGCAGGTGACAAAATGCGCTGCAGTTTGCAAAAGGATTGCGCAGCACGCACGCAGGAAAAATTTTACCAGGTGGGGGTACAATTTTATATAATTAAATTCTATTAAATTAATATATTTTATGTTCCTACAGATGCGTTGTCAAATTGCGATTTCCCTGCTTTTGCTGCTTTTGTGTTGCGGCGAGAGTTTCGCCGGTGACGCAGCCGATCAGCTGGTAAGTGGGTGGTGGGAGGAATGTGGGCGGTGGGCGTTTATTTGGGGCTGTTTGTTTGTTTGTTTTGGCTGCGCACTTGTTGCCTTTTGGCCAAGACCCCGTTATTGGCGCTCCGAATGCATGTCTTTCAAGACGCTTATCACTTCCAGTCTTTGTTGGTCGAACTTTCAAATGGCTATGGCTATCAATCAGCAATCAAAAATAAAGGAACGATAACAGCAACAGCAGTTAACCACAGTTATTTTTCAACAAAGCCGCCATAAAAATAGAATTTTTTTTTCATCTTTTGTTATAAAACCACTACTAAGAATTGTAATAGTAAAATTAAAAAACTTCTTCAGAAATATTTTTCACATTATATTGTCATATTTAGTATTATAGATTGTTACAATACTATTATATGAATAATAATTTTAAATTGATCTTATTAACGTAAGGCGTAGATATAATATTAATTACATTTTTAACGATTTTTTCATAAAAAATTTATGTTTATTTTACATTCTTATAAAATATATTAAACAACAAAAGAATAAGTATTTTTCTTATCAAGGCTGCTTTGTTCGAAGAATGCCTATGCTTAGAATTAAGTAGTAATTGTTATTAACATTGTTTAAGAAAATAATAAATATAAATAATAAAAAGAATCGTTTGGATCTTATCATAATCGTTAAATATATATTGTAGATAGTACAACTATATAGTTAAGCAACTGTAAATGTTAGCCTTATTTTGTGAACACTAATTTTGTCGTTTTTATTTCTCTTTAGAAATTTTCCTCTCAGGACTGTAAAATTAAGGAGCCCATATATGGCAACACCTTCGACTTTAGTGGCCTTCATTCGGATCTGGCCCATGTGGTCGAAAGTGTGAGCAATGGCGGCGACAAATTCGAGTTCAATATATGCGGGAATCTCTCCAGAACCTGCAATGGCGAGAGTAATGTGGCAGCCTGCCTAAAAAAACAAGGAAAGGAGTACATCATAGGTGAATTGAAAAGCACAAGAAAGTCCTAAAAAGTTGTATCTCTAAGGTACTTTTATCTTTCAGGTCGTCAACATGAGTTGGTCTACAACAATGGCAAAATGCATCTGGAGTATAAAAGCGGGGCCAAGTGCGAAAATGGCACTACCAGTAATCCCAACTATCAGCTCCATGTTCTACTCAGCTGCGACTATACTTTGGATGCCCAGCCAATGCATGTGACGCCTTATGTAAGGATTATAAAGAGTTTCATTAAGACATAAAATGATCAATAACCTTCTTTATGGTAGGCCAACGATGCCTGTTCTTTCTACATCTCCTATGAAACACCATTGGCATGCCTGCCCATTCCCGATGCCCTGCAATCGAATAGTTGCAGTGTGCGGGACACAAAATCAAATGGAACTTTCGACCTAATGCCCCTGAGTGATAGTAATTACAGGACCAGCAATCGACAGGATGCCTTTTTCCTGATCAATGTCTGTAAACCGGTGCTCTACGGAGAGAACAGCATGTGTCCGCCCGGTAGTAGCGTGTGTCTATTCAGTCCCAAAGCCACGAACTTAAAAGAGCGGTGGGTAAACATTGATTAATACTTTATGTGGATGTTAGTCAATGGATTTCCTACTCAGATTTATAAATTTTGGCAACGTCCAGTCGCGTCCGGTGGTGGAGAACGGGCAGCTATTGCTCAGACATGAGTCACCAACGCCCTGTGCCAAGAACTCCAGCGCCAACTACACCAGCGTGATTTATTTCAGCTGTGATAAGTTCATAAGGGTGAGTAATCTTGGTTTTGCGGCAAAGCAAAGTGGGCAATTATAAACCCATAATTTCCTTTCAGAATGCTCACCCGGAGTTCGCGGGCCTGGGAGCCGATTCCTGCACCTACCAATTCAATTTTGTCACGCCCCTGGCCTGCAATGATCTCAAACCCTGCACGGCTTTTACCGCCTCAAATGAGCTGTGAGTGGTCGACTTCATTTGACGTAACGATTGCACTTTAAGTCCCTCATTTTCCCACTTAACAGCCTGGATCTCAGTTCGCTTAGCTCGAAGCCAGCCCGCACTTTGATTAAGGATGGGAAAAACTATACAATTGCAGTGTGCGCCCATGCTGGGACTCCCTGTCAGGAAAACGGCGGTAAGTCGACCATTTGCGCACTCAAATATAAATATAGATTTTAAGTGCTGATGCAAAACTTACTCGCCATAAAAGGGTCTTAATTAAAGGGTCTTTACGCGAAAACGTTAGGGAAGCGGTAACCTGCTAAAGCTTTAAACCCCTTCGTCTCGAGGACTCTTGTTGTGCGGGATTAATGATTTTTTATTGCTCTTCCGCTCGAGTGGCCCTCTCGGCCATAATCATCTTGGTAACCGGAGAGGAATGCAGGAAAAAATGGGAAGGGCCCGGTCAAGTGTTGACCATTTCATCCGGTTTCCATTAAAGCGCACACGAGTGGCTATTTGTACGACCCCCCAACATATGTCCGTGTATCCTTGCCTACGTTTGTGTGTTGTTAGATGTAAAAGCCAGGGTATGATGATAATGATTTAGATCTGTGATGTGGTCCGTCATATATTTACATAATTTACGATTCTGCCTGTGTATATGCATGCGTGTTGGTCAGACCATTAGCCCAGCTCATTCTCCTATCCGTCCATCGTGTGGCTCCACGTGAAAATTCAATTTACATTTTTTGACGTCAATAATAAGCTAAACGTGCTAGAGGATACTCTTCTTTTTTAATATATATATATTCTTAAAATTGTAAACTTTTGATTGTGTCCATTGAAAATAAAACTTTG